CGAGTGTGAAGATGTGATAACAATTGTTCTACATGCACACAACACGATGAATGTACATCCTGTGTTAAAAACAAAGTTTTATTTGAAAGTGGTCTTTGTCTTGATATTTCATATGTTTTAGAGTGTCTTGATGTTTTAGACTCAAAATGTTTGAAATGTACATTTTGGCATGTACCAAACGAGAATGGTACTTTATGCGACAAAAAGGTGGTTTGGTGGGTCATACTTATCGTCGTGTTGTTTATAATTTGTGTATTGATAGGAGTAATCCTGACAATCATATTTATTGTGAAAATTGTAGAAAAAAGAATTCGACGTATAGCCAATAAGCAAACAACACTTTTTATATGAAACATTCAAACATTTCTTTTGTTCCTCTTGGAAAAAATCTTGTTGTTAACAAACCCCAAATTATGTTTGGTGACACTGAAAATCCTATTGGAGTTGGTGTAGAAAGTCGTGAGTTGATTTGTGTTGGGAACCCATCAAAACGTCGTTTAAAAATTCAATTTTCTGCAACTGAAAACATTATAAAATATACAATTAGAACAGAACCAAAAGTAATTTCTTTACAAAAAGGAAAAGCAGTTGAATTTGAAATATTTGTTAAACCAAAATGTTCATGCAAAATTGATGACAAAATCATTCTTTTTTCAAAAAACTTGGAAGACGGTATTACACAAGACAACCAAATAATTTTGAGTATTTACACTGAAATAACGACGCGACTTGACCCGGACGAATTGGTTGAAGACAAGAAACTTGGAGAAACTTCTTTTGGAATTGTGTACAAAGAAACTTTTAGAGGAAATTGTGTTGCAATTAAAAAAATGAAGGAATTCCACGAAAATGATTTAGATGAATTTGAAAATGAAATTAAGATGTTGGACGAATTTCAAAGTGAATATATCGTCCATTTTTATGGCGCAGTGTTTATACCAAATAAAGTGTGTATGGTCACTGAGTTTGCACAATTTGGAAGTTTACAAAACTTGATGAAAAACAGAACAAGTAATAATGTTGATATGAAATTACGAACTAAATTTGTATTGGATGCATCAAAAGGGATATTGTATTTACATGAGAATGGGATATTACACAGAGACATCAAACCAGACAATTTTCTGGTATTTTCATTTGATTTAAATGACAAAGCAAATGCTAAATTGACTGATTTTGGATCATTTAGAAATATCAATATGTTGATGACTAACATGACATTTACAAAAGGTATTGGAACACCAACTTATATGGCGCCTGAAGTTCTTGAACAAGAAAAATACAAAAAACCGGCTGATGTATATTCGTTTGCCATTACAATGTACGAAGTCATGGGGTGGGGTGAAGCGTATTCTGTTGATATTTTTAGATTTCCGTGGACCATTGCAGAGTTTGTGACAGCAGGAAAACGTCTCGAGAATAGAAAAAACATACCAGAAACATTATTCAAAATAATTGAAAAATGTTGGAAACAAAATCCAAAAGAACGGGAAACAATTACCCAAGTGGTTGATTTACTTCAACATGTTTACGAAATTTAATTTGATGTGTTTAATGTTTTTTTAATAGTTTAAAGAATATCCATATTCATCATTACAACATTTTAATTGATGCCAAAATACATTATGTGATGGTGTAAAAACAACAGCTCTGACATTATAAAAAGTCAAGCAAGATTATTTTAACTAATATTTAGAAATTAATACCATTTAAACAAATCATTTCTCACTGAATTTTTGCTTGTCAATTTGCTCGTTTAGTTTAATTGATTTAATAATTTAATTTAATAATATTGCAATGAGAAATATTAATTTACTACAAAACATGTTAGCAATATTTATAAGTAGATGAAAATGTATTTAATGGACAATACTGTTATAGATATACATTTTTAAATTAAAAAGGGTTTTAAAAACTTCAAAGTTTTTTTAAAGAAAAATATTATAAGTTGATTAATTTTTATAGTATTGATATATTATAAGTGATCACTCGACTTTTAATA